AATGATTCTCTCTCATCATTGATGTTTCTATTTCCCTCCCTCCCTCCCTTCCACTCTAAAATCAATAAAAATATATATTCTTTAAAAAACTAAATTATAATATTTAGGGTTACATACCTAGTTAGTAAGCTATAAAGAAAAGCAAAGAAATGAATAACTTAAAAGCAGGGTAGTGCTTTCCTTTAGGGAGAGAGGTCAACTCAGAAGAAAGGTGGGAGGAATTCTGGGGTGCTGGCAGAATTCCTTGACTCTGATGATTAATATTGTCATATTATAATTATTTAATAAATGTACATGTGTTTTTATACTTTTCAATACAATTACAGCTCTAGGTAATTGTACGCCAAATTACCTATATTTTTAAAGGTGTACACCCATCAGTGTCATAAAAATAATCACTTTCATCTAGTATACAGTCAGGAGGTCAGTTTCAATTCAACACATCATTTTATGTTACTCCTTTTTTTCCCATTAACAACAACAGAAATCCAAACATTTAAAAAAATAAGCCCTAGACAATGGAAACTAAGGAGAAAATAAACAAATGGGACTACATCAAAATAAAAAGCTTCTGCACAGCAAAAGAAACCACCAACAAAACAACAAGAGAGCCCACTGCATGGGAGAACATATTTGCCAATGTTATATCCGATTAGGGTTTAATCTCCAACATTTATAGGGAATTCATACAACTTAACAAAAGGAAGATAATCAATCAAAAAATGGGCAAAGAACCTAAATAGACACTTTTCGAAAGAGGACATATAGAAGGCTGAGAGACATATGAAAACATGCTCAAAGTCACTAATAATCCAAGACATGCAAATCAAAACAATAAGGTACCATCTCACATCTGTCAGAATGGCTATCATCAACAAATCAACAAATGACAAGTGCCAGCAAGGATGTGGATAAAAAGGAACCCTCTTGCACTGCTGGTAGGAATGCAGGCTGGTGCAGCCACTGTGGAAAACAGTATGGAGTTTCTTCAAAAAATTAAAAATGGAACTCCCATTTGACCCAGTAATCCCACTTCTAGGAATATATCCCAAGAAATCAGAAACACCTATCAGAAAGATATATGCACCCCTAAGTTCATAGAAGCACAATTTACCATAGCTAAGATTTGGAAACAGCCTAAGTGCCCATCAGCAGATGAGTGGATTAAAAAACTGTGGTACATCTACACAATGGAATTTAAATTTTAAAAAATAATCCTGCCGAAACCAGTTTGGCTCAGTGGATAGAGCGTCAGCCCGCGGACTGAGAGGTCCCGGGTTCGATTCCGGTCAAGGGCATATACCTGGGTTGCAGGCACATCCCCAGTGGAGGATGTGCAAGAGGCAGCTGATCGATGTTTCTCTCTCATCGATGTTTCTAACTCTCTCTATCTCTCTCCCTTCATCTCTGTAAAAAATCAATAAAATATATTTTTTAAAAAAAATCCTATATAATAAAAGGCTAATATGCAAATCAACCAAATGGCTGAACGACCGGTCACTATGACGTGCACTGACCCTCAGGGGGAGCGCCGCTCAGCCAGAAGCCCTAAGCCAGGCTCACTGCTGGTGAGCGCAGTGGCGGTGGCGTAAGCCTCTCCTGCTCTTGTGGCAGTACTAAGAATGTCCAACTGCCGGCTTAGGACCGCTCCTAAGCCAGCAGTCAGACATCCCCCATGGGCTCCCAGACTGCGAGAGGGCACAGGCTGGGGTGAGGGACCTCTACTCCCGCCCCAAGTGCACGAATTTCGTGCACCGGGCCTCTAGTAAATAAATAATAAAAAATAAGCCTTAGCCTGTTTGGCTCAGTGGATAGAGCATGGGCCTGCGGACCAAAGGGTCTTGGGTCCAATTCCGGTCAAGGGCATATACCTCGGTTGCAGGCTCCTCCCCAACCAGGGTCCTGGTTAGGGCTCATGCAGGAGGCAACCAATCAATGTGTTTTCTCTCACATAGATATTTCTCAGTCTTTCCCTCTCTCTTCCACTCTCTCTAAAAATCAATGGAAAAATATCCTCGGGTAAGGATTAAAAATAATAAATAAATAAAGTAAAAAGTTTAAGAGATATATATGTTTTCATTTATATGTCAAATAATACATTGAAAAGAGAACATTGAAAATAGATAAGTCAAAGACTTAAAAAATAGAAAATAGATTAAAAATAGGAAAGACAGATTTGTGTAGTGAACTGAGTAGAAAGAATACAAGTATATGATGGAAAAATGTTTCAAATAAACTAAGTACTCAAGATGATTGCCTGTTTATAATTTAATCTTTATAACAGTTACTAATTTCCATAAGTAAATGATGGTTACAATCAATTTTAGAAATAGTTTTCTACTTCATACAATACTAAGGTTTAATAGCTTTTTCCCCCACACAGGAGGAAGTTTATAAATTTAAAATTTCTAGCATATCTTGGAAAACAGAAACTTTCAGGAAAAAGAGAAAAAACGGGTCAGATAAGTTTAAATTTTCTTTTAAAGAAGTATTTGGCTGGGAGAGGACAATGGGGGAGAAGGGGGACATATATAATACTTTCAATAAAAAATTTAAAAGAAAAAAAACTCAGAGCCTTGGAAGCATAGACCAGTAAAATGAAAAGATACAAAGGATTCAAGCTCTTCAAATATCATACTGAAATAGTCATGAAGCCCATAAAAATTATCCTTGACAATTTTATAGTGTTTCAACTATATGGAGTCTCTTATTTTTCAGAAATTTTTCAATTGATATCTCACTACAGAAAAATATGTTACACTTTGCAGAAAGAGTCATTAAATAATTAAATCCCAGAGCATTATTAACATGTCCACACAATCATTCTGTGCCATGGGAAAATAAGAAAATGGTTCACTATTTTCATAGGTCCCTTTTCCTGTCCCATCCTAGTTTGCTTCTGAATTCTAAATATAATAACAGTAATTTCTACCATTTAATGAGCCCTTTTTATGTGCCTTATATTTACTATCTCCTTTAATTTTCACACATTTAAGAGCAGGTCTTACTGATCAGGAAAAGTGAGACATGAAACGATTAAGTAATTTGTCCAAACTCACAGGCTGCTATTGAGGGAGCCAAGATATAGTACAACTCCAGGGCCAGTGTTTTAATACTGCAATGTTCTATTCAATAAAACACTTATACCAGGAAAACTGCCTATAATCACCTACCACCTTCTAACCACCGGATTCCAGGTGCCTTGAGTAACTTATTTTTGCCTTGCCCAGATAACTGCATACTCAGAATTCTGCTATGTGAAGAAATCAAAACAAACGTTTGGGGAAATCTATGATTCTCCAGCTAAGAAAATGGAAGTCCAGAGAAGTTAAGTGTTCTGTCCAAGACCCCAGAGCTGGTTTGTGACAGCCAACACTAAAGCACAATTCCCCAGAGTGATCTTCCCACCACACTAAAAGCCCTTCTTCCTACATACATCTGAACTGTAAACTCCCTTTGGAACCCATTCTCTATCCTCCACACTAGCTCTGAAGTTTACTTTGCCAACTTTCACAGCATACAATAGCTTCAATAGCACTCACATGAGGTAACATACATTCTCTCATTTCAACAAATACAGAGAGATACACATGTGCTAAGGCAATTGATGAACCCAAATGTTTATCATAATTTTGGCCTCCGGTTTTATCATAAAAACATAAACATGTTAACTATAACATGTAACAGTGCCATAGTCGCCTTGTGAAGAATGTGTTCTGAAAGCACACAGAGAGTGTATGCTTCAGCCTAAGTAAAGAATGAGCAAGGCAAGGGGCTGTGAGACGCATCTGAGGCAGAGCAAAGGCAGAGGTGCGCTGGTGCTTAGAAAGGAGGGCGAAATTCTATCATTTTTACCAATGGACATCCAAGTAAAAAACAACAGTACATACTGGGTCAGAAAACCTGAGTTCAAATCTAAACTGTGAGACGGACTAAATCTGACTTGTGTGACTTTGAACAATTTCTGACTCCCGGTGTCCTCATCTGTGAAATGTACATACCACCGACCTGTCTACCTCACCGGACTTTCGTGGGCCAAATTATGTGAAAGTGCTTTAAAAACCGCAAAAAACCTGTATCAACATTAGTTCTTTTGTTTTCACGTGGATCTTTCCCCCAAACCTGTGTCTCATAAAAACCTCACCCTTCAGGATGAAAATATTCTAATGACATCATTCATATACCCTTACGGGGTAGTAAACTGCTAACACACTAATGCCTTCAGGTTGAAACATCGAGACTCTTTCTACTGAAACATAAATAAATAAACAAACAAACAAATAAATAAAGTGTGCTGTTTTTAATTTCTTAAGCACTCGTATTGACTTCCAGTCAATGCTTCCTCTGCAACTAGTACTAAATGCAGGTTTTCTTCTGGAAATTTTCTATCAGAAATTCCACTCCATTTTATAGTTCGTTGTGAAGCAACCAATTCAGGAATAGTGTGCGAGTAGCAATCACTGTGCTCTCGCCCCAATACGTGGGTTATGTATGTACTCCCTATAGACACAACCAAGCTTATGCCCTGACTCTAAAAAAGAGACTGGTTTAGCGCAATCATACACATGATTGCAAACAGCTAGTGGACAAATATAAAGCCACTGAAAAGTATAATGAGTTCCTATAATAAGTATGGATTTAAAATGCTTTGAAGGCCACAATCTGATCCCTGCTTTAAATTAGAGCTTCTCCCCCCCCCCCCCACTTCCTTTAAAGTTTGACAGCGCAGCCCGTAGAATAATAACCCCACCTCCCTTTAGCAATCACTCTTTAAAGTTCAACCTTAAACCCCAGTGTCTCGGCTGCTCCTTGGATGACAGCCTGGATAAAGTTCCGATGCACGTTTCCGAAGTCAAAGGATGGGCAAGAGACAGGAAAGGGACAAGGGGCGGGGAGAGGGGGAGCGCGGGGGGGGGGGGGGGGGGGGGGGGTCCTCTCGCCGCTCCAGGACCGTGGCTGTTTTCTCTCACAAGCGCAACTTCCCGTTTTCTCCCTCTTACCTTGTACACTTTCCCAAAGGCTCCGTCGCCCAATTCTCCTATAATTTCCCAAAACTCCTCAGGGTTCAGGTCCCTCTTCACATGTTCGTACTGCTTCTTCTTCTTCTCGCTCCCCAACTTGAAGATCTTACGGAAATTGAAGAAGGACATTTTTCCTCCCAACAGAGTTCCTGGCACTTAAGGACTAAAACAACAATAAAAGGCAAAGTTTCTCCTCCCTCTTCTCCCGCGCGAGCCCGGCAGGCGACGGCGGCGGCGGGCGCGGGCTCTCCCGGCTCCCGCCGCTCCGGCTGGGCGTCCCGGAGAAGGCGGGGCGCGACTCGGGCTCCGACCCACGGGGTGGGAGCGGGGGGGTGGGGGGTAGAGGCTGCGCGGGCGGTCCCTCGGCCGAGCCCGGCCCGCGGGCCGCGCGGTGGGCGCCTTGCCCCCTGTCGGCCCTAGGGGGGCGGCACCTGCCCGACTCTGTCCCAAACCGGCCCAGCCCGATGGGTCCGAGCGGTCCAGACGCCCGCGGTCGCCGCGGCTTAGGCCCGTGTCACGGCGAGTCTCCAGGGGCGGCGGCCACTCCGGGCAAGGGACGCGGCCGGCGACCTCTGGGGCCGGCAGTCCACAGGCCGCGCTCTCCCGCCTCCGGCCTCGATCCCCGGGGTCCCCTCCGCAGCTGTCCGCTCCCGCGGCGCGAGGCCCGCGCGTCCCCTCGGCTCCCGGGTTCCGCCGCCGCCGCCTCCTCGCTCCCTTCCCAGCCCACACTGCCTCGTTCTGGAGCGCGCGCCGACGCCGACGCCGACGCCAATGCCGCAGCGCGCCCGCGCGCTCCGCAGGTCGCGCGCCCCGCTCAACGCGCGCTCGCGTGGGGGCGTGCCCTCTGGCCCCGCGCACGCGCGCTGAGCTCGGCTCGCTGGCGGCCTGGAGGGGCTCGGAGGCGTCCCGCCTGCGGTGCGACGTGGACTCGGGCGTTCCTCGCTCCTTACGCATTGTTCCCCATTTACCCTGTAAGCCCTAAAAATCCTCTCAGTCCAGGATTTGGGTGGAGTTGCCCCCGCGGGCACGACCCTGTCGACGTTGCTAGCGGATGTTGCCTCCATTCTGGATCTGAGAAATGTTGTAAACACTGAAAGCTGAGCTGTACCGATGGGGGCCCGAAAGGATTTTTTCGCTTTCAAATGAGTCCAGGAGTACAGTGAGAGGAGCACGTGTGATGGCTGGGAGCTTCGGAGCTAGAGATTGGCAGCTCTGTGACCTTGGGCAGTAACCTTTCCTTTCTTACGGAGAGGAGTGAATGAGGCAATGGACATAAGCCGTTTTCGCGGTCCCTGCTCAATTTTAGTTCTTGCTGTTGTTACAAGTGTGCAGGTAAGCCCGATAGTGTGACTAGGGTGGTTGAGCGTGGACTTAGGAACCAAGAGGTCACGATTGAATTCCCCATCAGGGCACATGCCCAGGTTGCAGGTTCGATCCCCAATAGAGGGTGTGCAGGTGGCAGCCGATCAATGATTCTCATCTTTGATGTTTCTATCTCTCTATCCCTCTCCCTCCTCTCTGAAATCAATTTTTAAAAAATGTTTTTTTAAGTGTGCAGGTAGATAGACATAGATAATATGAAGCATGTAAACCCACTTCTCGAATGATGACCACGACCCTCCTTGAGGGTAATCTACCTTCTGCTGGCCGCTTCAACAGCCGTATTCCTGTGCCACCCTTCCTGACTCCATCTGAACGACTTACTACCTCGGCTTCCTGATCTGCCTCTGGCCCCTTGGGCAGCATGAGTGAGAGAAGGCTTGGGCCATGTGGGCGTTGGCTGGAATCTACCAGATAGTGACCTGCCTTCCTGTTCTCCACCAGAAAGGAGCACTTTTAGGGCAGTGGCTTGTTACTCATCATTGTATCCAAGAACCTGACAACATTCCTGGCATATAATGAGAAGGCAGATCCCTTGAATGAATGGAAGTTATCTGGAGCAGAGGCCAAATTGCTATCTATATAAGGCCCAACCATTTTTCCCTCCAGCCCCAAAACTCTTCTTCCAGTGAGAAGGTTAAAATAATTTTGTTTCTCAAGATCCCTCTTTTTTTTTTCATAGTTTATTAAGGTAGAATTGATATGCAACAAACTGTACATATTTAAAATATACGATTTCATGTTTTGACAGATGTATACACCTGTGGCGATAAAAACTAATCTATTTTTAACTATTATTATTTATGCAGGTGGCACTAAATGTAAAGGTAATAAATACATACTCATTGTGGAAAATTTTTAAATGCACAAAGAATAAAATAAGAAGCAAACACATACTTTAATTCTACCATCCAGATATAAACATTGGTAAGATTATATTGTATTTCCAAACAGGACTTTTTGGCTGTGGATGGGCTTTTATTTACATGGATTAAATTATACTGAATATAAAGGTTTGCACCCTACATATTTCATATTCCCATTCCATTAGTAACTGTTTCCTTAAAACATGAAATATTTAGATTCTCAGCATTAGATAAAATATTGATGAATATCTCTACAAATCCTTTTCTACATATTTGATTATTTTCTTAGGGAATTACCAGAAGCAAATTTGGGTCAAAGGGTTTAAGTCTGTTTCCTTTTTTTGCTATTTTCAAAATAGAAAAACCTTTACTGTTTTCTCAAATTAAAAGATAGTAAATCCTTGTTGTAAATTAACTGAAATAATATAGAAATGATAAATTAGGAACCTGTCTGTAATTCTCCCATTCTGCCTCCCCCGTACCCAACTTCAATCCCAACCTAACTACTGTGTAAGTTAAGCCTATGAGCAAGAGAGAACTTTTGGGGAGTTAACAACAACAAAAAAAAGTTCTAAAATTATATTGTAGTAATGATTACACAACTGTGTACATTTAAAAAAATACTTCTAAAAATGTAAGCATAGAAAAGAATTTGGTTAAATCTCTCTCTCTACATATATATCTTACTTTTTAGAAAAATATGTTTTTATTTATTTTTATTGGGTTTTTTTTATTGATTTTTAGATAGAGAGGAAGGGAGAGGGAGAGAGAGAGAGAAACATAGAATGGCTGCCTCCTGCATGTCCCCTACTGGGTTTTGCCCTGGCCCAGAATTTAACCAGGGACCTCTTGGTCCATGGGACGACACTCAATTCACTGAGGCAGACCAGCTGGGCTATATATATTTTTTAAATATAAAAATGGTGTCAAATATGAATCATGGATATCTTTCCATACCAGTACAAATAGATCTATCCAATCATCCTATATAATAAAAGGCTAATATGCAAATTGACCAAACGGTGGAAACAGTCGCTATGATGCACACTGACCACCAGGGGGCAGATGCTCAATGCAGGAGCTGCCCCCTGGTGATCAGTGCACTCCCACAGGGGGAATGCCGCTCAACCAGAAGCCCTGAGCTGGGCTCATGGCTGGTGAGCACAGCAGCGGTGGCAGGAGCCTCTCCCACCTCCACAGCTCCCCTCGGGGGAGCAGGCCTAAGTCAGCAGTCGAACATCCCCCGAGGGCTCCCGGACTGCAAGAGGGCAGAGGCCGGGCTGAAGGACCCCCACGAGTGCACAAATTTCATGCACTGAGCTTCTAGTTTTTAACAAGTGCATGGAGTCCCAGGGTACAGCTCAACCACGTTTTATTTAAACATTTCTCTATTGGTAGGCATTTAGGTAGTTTCCAATTTTTTGTTATCATAAACAACACTGCAGTGAGCATGCATATACAAGCATCTTTGTGTATTTGATTGTATTTTCTTAAGATAAAATACAAGAAGTGGAGTTACTGAGTCAAAGATCATATTCAGAATTTTTTTCCTGTATTGCCAAATTGGCCAGTAGAACAATTATACTAATTTATACTCCTACTAGCAATATGTGAGAGTGCTAGTCTCACCACACCTCAATAGCACCAAGGTCTTATCTCATCTTTTTAATCATTGTCAAGCTGATAGTTCAAAATAACCTCTCATTTACAATTCTGATTATTAATGATGTAACACTTTTTCATATGTATATTGGCCACTTTATCTTATTTTATGAATTGCCTCATCATGTCAAATAATAATATCAAATGGCATTGTTAATATTGTGTAAATGAGGTGATCAAGTATAACATACTTTGGTGAAATGATGAGAGAGTTAATAGGAGTTTATACATTTTTTCCATGAAGTTATAGCCACAGAAATTATTTAATAATACCAGTGAGATGTCATTTTAGACAGATTCAGATTTTCCCAGTAATGACCTTGATAGCTAGATGTTTGTGTTATTTGTAAACCATAGTTTGACTTCCTGGAATTTTTAAACCTTTGAAAGTGAAGTTTAACCAGTGGCCATGTAAAGTATTCATTTAATACACAATTTTTTGGCTCCACTCACCTTAAAAATAGTTTAAGACATTCTCACTAATAGCTTGGTGAGGGGAGAACTATCTTCACAATTTGCCAGGTAACTGACCTTCACTGAAAATAATAAGGATATCATTTAAAATTAAAATTGAACCCTGGCCTGGGTAGCTAAGTTGGTTGGAGTATACCTGATGGGCCAAGGTCGAGAGTTGATCACCGTCAGGGTACCTGTGGGAATCAACAAATGAGTGCATGAGTGAGTGAAGCAGCAAGTTGATGTTTCTCTCTTCTCCTCCCCTCTCCTCCCCTCTCCTCCTCTCCCCTCCCATCCTCTCTCCTCTCCTTCTTCCTCTTCCTCCCTTCCTCCCTCCCTTCCTCCCTTCCTCCCTCTCTCTCTGAAAATCAATTTAAATTTTTTAATTAAAAATCAAATATGTATTGAGTGCTTACTATACCAGCACTGTGCTTAGTGGTTTACATGCATTATCTCAGTTAAACCTCATATCAACCCTATGAATAGCCCCCATAAAAGTAAGAAAAACTGAGATAGTTACTCAGAGATTATAATAGCACATTGAACTGGAATCCAGATCTTGGTAAATCAAACTCCCTAGCTTTGAACAACTAAGATGGTCTGTAATAGCTACCTCACGGAGGTAGCCCAATATCTTCCTATTCCATAAATTTGTGTTGAATAATGAATGAAAATGAATGAACTTTATACCTATTGAAAGCAAATTTCACATCAATTCCTTCCCCTTCCTTATTTCTAATTTAGGCAGCAAATTTACTACTAAGTTCTTTAAGTGCTACTGTGTAGGTTACATGGAAGTTGCAAATTCCTTTGGTGTACAAGGACTGTGGTATAAATACATTTGTCTATCCTTGTGGAGTTACATTTTTAGAAAGAAATATTTTCTCAGGTATTTTTTAAAAGTAACCTGCAATCATGACAGTTATTCTCCTGAAATAGGATTGTGTGTCATTCAGAAAATTCCAAAACGGATTTTTGGTCTTTTTCTTCTTCTTCTTTTCCTACTTTAAAAGTAAACAAATCACCTGGTAAGCTATTTTTGTTTCAAAAGGGGAATCTAAAAATATCCTCCCTTCTACATTAGTGTCCCTTCTTGCGTCATACAGAACTGTTGCACTCACACTCCCACCCTCTCCTCATCCCTAGCTGCCTCTGCTGAAATGAATCATAAACATTTGGCAGTGTAATGGCAAGTCTTAACATATTCAAATCTGGGGGAATTAAAAAATAAAAACTCTACAGGCATACTTGTTTTACAAGTGGCACTCACATTCCAGTTTTAAAATTTAGATACCACATCTTTTGAACTTTAAGGACTTAAGTGGTCAATATGGAATTCCTCTCATTCAGACATTAGCTGCAGCCTTCATGCAGCCAATCCTTTGTGATTTATAAAAGCCTCTGTGCTATTCTGTTGCCCATACTTTTATGCCCTGCAGTTCTTCTTTGTTTCATAAGGCAAACAAGTTGGATGTGATCGTTTTTTTGTTTTTTTTTTAGCACTGGCTCAGAATTGTTTGTCACATCATTAACTATCTCTGTGGGCAAGTCACTACTCGACACTATGAGGCTTACACATGAGTTTCATTTTTAACAGCGGTGGCTTCAGGGAGTTGAAACAATTCAGAAAGACCCAGAAAATAGAATAACTGCTAAGGTATGACTTGAATAGTAGGTAGCTTCTTCAATATGAACTTTAAGAGCCCTTGTAACTGTAAAAATTCTGTTTTCATTGTGTCCCTAACTTTAGCTGCCTTATACATATACTAGTAATTATGTCCATTTTTCTGACACAGTTGTGACTGAGGAGTAAATAAATGCAGTCCGGAATTTCAGAAAGAAGGGCTTATCTGTCAAAACTCATTGAGAATCCTGTTTCCACCAAAAGCTATTTTTGGATAACCCTTCAGAAATGTACCTAGTAAGATAAGAAAGCCTGCCACATGCCTTTGAGGATTGGGTGGGATGTTTTCAGAGTAATGTCAGTGGCTATCTTCCAAAAGACATTTTCAGGTTTTCCCCTTAAGGAAATAACAAGTTCTTGCTATCGTTTCATAATCTTCCTCCTTAACTCTTCTAATCTTTCAGAGCAGCACGTTTTTAATGAAAACCTTATTACTGCACATTCCTGTTTCACAAAGCCGCCACAACAGCTAGAGACCAAATAAGACTGTGGCTTATTAGAGTCACAAGACACTGCCTATTTGTCTGGGAAATCACGAAATTTTCTATTTCTGTGACTCAGGTTTCGTGCTGCTGCAGGAGGAAATGAACCAATATAGATTCCGATTAGAGCCACATCTATTTTCAAGTTTTTATTCATCTGAACTTTATAAAATGGCCATTTCTAACAAAAATGAACCAATTATTTGTGACTGAGGGTTCCACTGGGGGAGAAAAAATGTATTTCAGAATTGACTCTTTAAATAACTGTTTAGAATTGCCACCTTTCATCCATTCCTTCATTCATCAGATGGTCTCAATTTTCTACTATGTGCTAGGCAGTATCCTACTATATACTCCTGTAGGGATGACTAGAGAATCAGCCAGAATCAAAACAGACCAAAAAAAAAAAACCACACAAAACAAAACAAAACCCTGCAGCCTCTTGGAACTTGTATTCTCTCTCTCTTTTTTCTTTTTAAGAAATAGATTTCTTTTTTTAAATATATGTATATTTGTATTGATTTCAAAGAGGAAGGCAGAGGGAGAGATAGAAACATCAGTGATGAGAGAGAATCATTGGTTGGCTGTTTCCTGCACGCCCCCCAATGGGGATGAAGCCAGCAGCCCAACCAGGGCATGTGCCCTGACCAGGAATTGAACTGTGACCTCCTGGTTCATAGGTTGAGTCTCAACCATTGAGCAACACCAGTTGGGTGGAACTTAATTCTCAATGATTAAGTGGAATGTAGACAAATAATAAAAGATATTATCTTCTAACCCAGGGCAATTTTTCGCCTCACACACATGCAATTTGGCAATTTCTGCAGACTTTTTTTAGGTGTCACAACTGGGAGAGGAGGTGCTACTGGCCACTGGTAGGTAGGGATCAGAAATGCTGCTCAACATCTTACAATGCCCAAGACAGCTCCCCATCCCTGCCTCCAAAAAAGAGTTATCCAGCTCAGGTTGAGAAACCCTGTACTAATCTTTAGTATTGGAGATCATGATGTTGGTTACCCTCGAGGAGTTAGTGACTAGAAGAGGTCACAAGGGGAGACCTCTGGATGCTGACTACATGGGTGGGTTTATTATGAAAAAATTCACTAGACTCTGCTCTTATAATTTGTATGTTTTTCTGTATGTGTAATTTTAACATATAGCCACTACATATTTTTTAAACTCCTCCTGTCAAGAGGGGTGTCTATGAATCTCAGAGCTATGACTGCTTAACCAATATAATATGGCAGAAGTGACACTGCCAGTTTCCAGACCGATTCCTTAAGAAATTGGCAGTTTCTACTTCCTGTCACTTGGACACTCGGTCTTGAAAACTAGTCACCATGCTCTGAGAAAGTCCAAACAACCCATGATGAGGCCCATGTAGAGAGGCCTGGGAGGAAAGGAACATGGGTCCCAGGCCCTCAGTCCTAGTAGAGCTCCCACCTAACTGCAAGCATCAACTTGCCAGCCATGTGAATAAAACCTCTTGAAGTTATCTTCCAGCTTCTAGCCAAATGACCCCAGCTGACAGGAAGTGGAGAAGAGCCAAGCCTTCCCCACTGAGCCCTGCCCAGCAGATTCATGAAGTAAATAAGCAATTGCTGTTCATTTAAGGCACTAAGTTTTAGGGACGTTTGTTAAGCAACAATATGTAACTGAAACAATATTAAGTAAATCAAAATGTTACTTTAAAAAGGAGTACTATATGCCATAGCTGGTTTGGCTCAGTGGATAGAGCGTTGGCCTGAGGACTGAAGGGTTCGGGTTCGATTCCAGCCCAGGGCACATGCCTGGGTTGTGGGCTTGATCCCCAGTAGGGGGCATGCAGGAGGCAGTTGTTCAATGATTCTCTCTTATCATTGATATTTCTATCTCTCTCTCCCTCTCCCTTCCTCTCTGAAATCAATAAAAATAGATTTAAAAAAAAATAAACAGCAAGGAGTACTATAGCCATATCACTTGGGGAAATTCTTGGTTAAATAAAGTTTTAAAGCTTGTCTTACTGCAGAACTTTTTTTTAATCCTCACCTGAGGACATTTCCATTGATTTTTAGAGAGGGAATAGGAGAAAGAGAGAGAGAGAGAGAGAGAGAGAGAGAGAGAGAGAGAGAGAGAGGAAACATCAATGATTGCCTCCCACATGGGGCCAGGGATTGAACCTGCAACCTAGGTATGTGCCCTGACTGGGAATCGAAGCCTTAACCTTTCTGTGTACAGGACGACACTCCAACCAACTGAGCCACACCGGCCAGAGCTCACTACAGAACTTTTAATGGGCTAATGTGTTTTATTTTTCTTCACATGAGTATCCAGTATTTCTCAAACATTTTAACCCCAGAATCTGTATTTTAAAGTGCCATCTTGCAAGATTGATGTTAAATGGACCAGATATAAAGAAAACTAGACTGACCTTTCAATAATTCAGTAAACTGAAATTTTAACTCTTAAAATTGCAGAGTTAATATCAGGGTAGTTTGAACTGGAAATTTCATATGTAGTATAGTCAATCCTGATAATCAGCTGAAATATCTTAAATTTGCCTAATGAAAAATTTTAAATTATGAAATATTCTAATGGCAGTTAAAAAGAAAAACTTATATGGCATCTCAGCAGTTATTTCAAAGTCCCTGAGATCGATGGCTACATATGTTAAAATTTTAACTCTGCTTTTACTTGGAAGGTTATAGTAGCAGTGTATAGTTAGATATTGAATGTTATAGAATGCTTCCCGTATTTCCTTAAATTCTCACTTGATCTTAAATTGAACTACACAACATACTTCTAATATATTGATACAAATTTATTTTGTTGCCTATTTATTTGTCCAGGCCTTAAAAACATTGGACTGAAGTGGATAAATTGACATTTGATATCCTGTCTTGTATCTAGTGAAATTCAAGTTTATTCTTTATTGTAATCATCCAAAATCAAGTGGAGGTTTTGTTTCGGTTTTCTTATCAAAGACCAGTGCCCAGTTATCCCTCCCCACACATTCATTTCCCCCATGTTTCAGCTCAGATGTATCACTTCAGCATGAGGGAATTTTGGAATAAAAACTTTAGCATCACCCTAGCCGACTTGGCTCAGTGGATAGAGCGTCGGCCTGCGGACTGAAGGGTCGCGGGTTTGATTCTGGTCAAGGGCATATGCCTGGGTTGCAGGCTCAATCCCCAGTAGTGGGTGTGCAGGAGGCAGCTGATCAATGATTCTCTCTCATCATTGATGTTTCTCTCTCTCTCTCCCTTTCCCTTCCTCTCTGAAATCAATAAAAACATATTAAAACAAACAAACAAAAACTTCAGCATCACCTGGCCAGCTTGGCTCAGTGATTGAGTGTCAACCTATGAACCAGGAGGTCATGGTTCAATTCCCAGTCAGGGCACATGCCCGGGGTTGCAGGCTCAATCTCCAGTGTGGGGCGTGCAGGAGGCAGCCGATCAATGATTCTCATCATTGATGTTTCTCTCTCTCTCTCTCCCTTCCTCTCTGAAATCAATAAAAATAAATAATAAAAATACGTCAGCATCAAAGTACAGCATTATACAGACTAGGATACTGACCACTTTCCCAGGAACCCCTCGTTATCATTCTTCATTCAGATCCTCTCTTAGAGCCTGACCCCTGGAGATAGAGTTCTCCAGGCAGTCTTCTTTATCCCACTCTGGATATACCCCACCGAAATCAACAGTGCCCTCCTGATTTCCGTCCCATGACCACACTGCCCAGTCTTATCTACCCTGATCCATGCCTGACTGCTGGAAAAGTTATGTTCTGTTTGAACCTTTGTGTTCAAACTGTGCTGACTCTAATCACCTCACTCGCAAATCAACCAAGTTGGGCATTCTGGTTTCTAGATTTCTCTTTGGCTTGTGGAAAGACTAGTTGTTTTGTGTTTGTGTGTGCATCACACAAAAGCACACCCCTGAAAGGGTAAGGGGAGGCTGAAATTCAGTCCACATTTTATTAACTAGGTTGAGAGCCTGTGAGTCTGTCTACCCAAGGGACACCTTCTTCTTGTTTAAACAAAGATGATTTATAAAGCAGTGATGGCACTGGCCTCTGACTTAGACCTCAGTGTTGTCATTTAAACATCTGGGATGTTCCCTTTCTACCTTCTCTGTTACCTTAGGTTCTGTCCTATTCCATGGAATTTCAGGCATGTCCTTTAAATGGGGGAGATCTCCCCATCTTTGTGACTCTTCCTATAATATGAAAGCACTTAGGTGGTTTTTATACTTGTGGTTAACACCAATAATTTTATACTGTGATATGTAGGACATTTTGCTTCTAATCAATATTCACGAAAATCCTCAAAGCACAGGTTTCAAGTGGAACACTGCAAGTCCTTTTCAACATTAAGACTTTCTGTCTCACTTAGGAGACCATCCTAATTCTATTCTACAGCTTTGCCTTTCAAATGTTTGCTGGCTCACATAACAACAAGGATTAGAGAATTATTGAAGGATCAAGGCTGCTTTAAAGCCAAGTATTACTGCCATCCAATCCCAGAACCAATCTTGCTAAACCAACAAACTCAGAAGCACCAATTCCCTCCCAGAGGGCTTTCCTTCATCTTCTCCTCAAGCTGCATGATTTACTTTTCCAAAGGGAGGTTATGTTCCATTATGTTTTGATAGCATCCAGATTCTCCAGATAAACTCGTTTACAATGTGGTGTGCTCCTGTAAACCAGGCCAACTGAATTATTTTCAAATTATCCGATTGAGCTGGAAAAGCAAGCTAGCTCAATTATTAATGTAAAAGCACTAGTAGGTGATGTGCTTCTTCAGCTTCAATAAACACCATTTTTATTAAAGAATAATGGTTTTTGTATAGTCAAAGGATTTCTTACTTATGTGCTACACAGAAAGAAAAAAAATCAGTATTTCTTTAATTCCCAAGAGCAGGTGGAAAATTAACCAGAGATTTAGAACTACTTCAGTGAGTCTTAAACAATGAGAGGGTGGAAGCAGGATTTTAAAAAAAGAAGAAGAAGAAGAAAAGTGACTATTGCGATAGCTATGTTTGGTGCCAGGTGCGTACTGGAGATATGGGAGGTCGGGGGAGGGGAACGCTTTGTAAAATATATGATTGTCTAACCACTATGCTATACACCTGAAACCAATACAAAATAATATTGAAAATAAAAATAAATGAACAGTGATGTCTCTGACATAGGAGACATTTTACCTTTTACAATTTGCTTAACACAAGAAGTTAAGCACTCAGGAGGGACAGCAATCAAATGATGTTGGTCGATATCCTATCTAATAAAAGAGAAACATGGTAATTAGCGTACGACCACTACCCTTCCCATTGGCTAATCAGGGCAATATGCAAATTAACTGCCAGCCAAGATGGTGGCTGGCAGCCAGGCAGCTTAAAATGAACATGAAGCTTGCTTGCTTCAGTGACGGAGGACTCCAACGTTCCCCGCCTGCCACTGCAGGCCTCTGAGCTGCAACTCTAAGCAACTATGTTACAAATATAGAAGCTAAACAAACCCCCAGAAACCTGCTTTAGTCCGTCGGGCTTCAGCCAGCAGGATTGCAACTTTGTTTCAAATACAGAAGGTAAACAAAGGCCAGAAACCTGCTTTCAGCAGCGGAGGCCTAAGAGCTGGAGTCAAGCCTCAAAGCTAAAGCTGGCCCAGAATAAAAAAAGAAAAAGAAAAAAAAGGAGCGGTTGGGAGCTTCAGTCACTCGCCAGCCTGAAAACAGCCCTCAGCCCCTCACCCAGACTGGCCAGGCACCCCAGTGGGGACCCCCACCCTGAAGGGTGTGTGACCAGCTACAAACAGCCATCTTCCCCTCACCCAGGCTGGCCAGGCACCCCAGTGGGGACCCCCACTCTGATCCAGGACACCCTTTAGGGCAAACCAGCCAGCCCCACCCATGCACCAGGCCTCTATCCTATATAGTAAAAGGGTAATATGCCTCCCAGCACTGGGATCAGCAGAGCCGAGAGGCCTCCCGGCACTGGGATCAGTGTGACAGGGGGCAGCGCCCAAACCTCTGATCACCCTGCGGCTCTGTGTGTGACAGGGGGCGGGGCCACAACCTCCTTATCCGCCCTGCTCTGTTTGTGACAGGGGAAGGCACCCCAACCCCCTGATCAGCCCTGCTCTGTGCCTGATAGGGGGAGCTCCCCAACCCCCTGATCGCCCTGCAGCTCTGTGTGTGACAGGGTGTGGCGCCCCAACCCCCTGATCGGCCCTGCTCTGTGGGTGATAGAAGGCGGTGCCCCAACCCCCACCCCACAGGCCCTGCTCTGTGTGTGATGGGGTAGAGCCATAACCTCCCCATCAGCCCTGCCCTGAATGTGACAGTGGCGGCGCCCCAACCCCCTGATCCGCCCTGCTCTGTGTGTGACAGGGGGGAGCTCCCCAACCCCCTGATGGGCCCTGCTCTGTGCGTGACAGGGGGTGGCGCCGCAACCTCCCAATCGGCCCTACCCTGAGCGTGACTGAGGGTGGCATCGCAACCTCCCAATCCGCCCTGCTCTGTGCATGACAGGGGGTGGCGCCCCAACTCCCCAATCAGCCCTGCTCTGAGCCCGACCAGGGGCTGCACCTAGGGATTGGGCCTGCCCTCTGCCACCCAGGAGCAGGCCTAAGCCAGCAGGTCGTTATCTCCCAAGGGGTCCCAGACTGCGAGAGGGCACAGGCCAGGCTGAGGGACCCCTCCTCCCCCCTGAGTGCACAAATTTTTGTGCACCGGGCCTCTAGTCTAATATAATAATAGAAGAATATGCAAATTAGCCAGGATGCCATAACATCACGACTGATCTACAACTGGCAGAGAGGTACAGGAGGTCGGGGCAGTGGGTGGAGAGCTAAGGAGGGCGGGGCAGCCAGCTACCAGAGGCGGAGAGCTATGAGTGGTGGGGGGGTGGGGGGTGGCCAGCAGAAGCAAGCAGTAGCAAGCTACTCGCGCACCGATTTGTGCGCAGGGCTACTAGTTTTAATATAAGAAGCCAGAGTTGAGGAGCAAGAGCCAAAAGCCAGTGCTGTTCTTAGCTGTATCAGTTGTTATTGAAAGGGCTAACTGGGGTTTTATTGACAAACTTGAAGTGTCATTGGGCAGAATGACAGAAAACTGGCTTTGCTACAGGAGTGGTGCTAAATGTGTCACCCTCTACCCACTTCAAGACTGAAGGGCTTATTCCCTCGGGTGATAGGAGACAGTCCTCTCCAGAAATGACCTGCCAAAGAGTCCCCTCTCCCCAGGTAACATCTTCCTCATCCATTGACTTGTTGATGCCAGTGTACATCAAGGCCTGGCTCTCTTACCCCAATGCAAGACAACTCTGAAAGGCCATCTCAACTCCAGAGATCCCAACAGGCTTAGTGGAGACCTTTGCTGAGTCTATTTCACAGTCCACCTTCTCCCTGCCCAATCCTATTTCCTCTCCTTCCTTTCCACAGGTGTTAGACCCAACCGTGTTCTCCAAGAGATAAACTTTTGGGACATTTTAGCTCAGTCTCAGAGCTGCCTTCCCCAAAATCTCCTCCCCCTTTCCTCCCCCTACCCCAGCTGTTTAAAGATATAATTAACAAATATAACATTGGGTAAGTTTGAGGTGTACAACATGTTGATACACTTACATATTGCAAAATGATGATCACCATAGAGCTGTTAGCTAACTACTCTGTCACATCACATAATTACCATATCTTTTTTGTGGTGAGAACATTTAAGAACTACTTTCTTGCCCTAGCCGGTTTGGCTCAGTGGATGGAGCGTTGGCCTGCAGACTGAAGGGCCCCAGGTTTAATGAGCATGCAGGAGGCAACCAATCGATGTGTCTCTCTCACATCAGTGTTTTTCCCTGTCTTGTCCCTCTCCTTTCACTCTCTCTAAAAATCAGTAGAAAAAATATTCTTGGGTGAGGCTAAAAAAAACTACTCTCTTAACAACTTTCAAGTATACAATACAATATTATTAACTATAACTACTATGTTATACATTTGATCCCCAGAATTTATTCATCTTATAACTGGAAGTTTATACCTTTTGACCAATATCTTCCCTTTTCCCCCAACCTTATCCCCGCCCCCACCCTGGTACCACCATTTTAGTCTCTGTTTCTATGAGTTTGGCTTTTTTGGAATACTGTGTAAATAATACCATACAGTATTGTCTTTGTCTGACTTTGTATTTTATTTAGCATGATGCCCTCAAGGCCCACCCATGTTGTGACAAACGGCAGAATGTCGTTCTTTCTCATGGATGAATAAGATCCCATTGTGTGTGTGTGTTTGTGTATGTATTACATCTTTATCCATTCATCCACTGACAGATACTTATGTTGTTTTCACATCTTGGCTATGGTGAATAATGCTGCAATAAACATGGAAGTGTTTTCATCTTATTTTTGTTTTAAATAGTTAAGCCTGGCTGGCATGGGTCAGTGGTTGAGCATCAACCTATGAACCAGGAGGTCACAGTTCAATTCTCAGTCAGGGCACGTGCCCTGGTTGTGGTTTCAGGCTCACTCCCCAGTGTGGGACATGCAGGAGGCAGCCGATCAGTGATTCTCTCTTATTATTGATGTTTCTATCTCTCTCTTCCTCTTCCTCCCTCTCTGAAGTCAATAAAAAGATTTTTTCAAAAATAAATATAAGAAAATACCTTTATGATCTTGAGATAGGAAAGAATTCTCACATACAGTAAAAGAACAAGACCAATAAATTTAAACTTTCATACATCAAAGATACTTTAAACAAAGTAAAAATATAGGCTGTAGATTTGGAGAAAGTATTTGCAGTGAATGTAACTGATAAAACATTAGTGTCCAAAATACAGGGGTGGGGAAAGTAGGTTCACAGTTGTGAGTATGCAACGCACAGTTTATTATTTATTAACTAGAAGCCCAGCGTGCGAAATCATGCAGCCCTGCACACCTGCGTGCGCCTTGCTGCGCCCACCTTGCTGCGCCCACCCGCCAGACACCCGGTACCCGGGCCAGGCTGCTTCTCTCTAGCCACTGCCACCAGGCACCCAGGACCAGGGCTGCTTTGCTCTGGCCACCACCGCCACCCACCAGGTTCCCCATGGTTCCCCGTCTGGTTGTTGGTCATTATGGTGCTACAGCGCTATGGCCACAGGCCTTTTATAATATAGATTACTATATTATTTTCCATATGAATAGCTGAAAACCTACTTTTGCCAACCCCTGTATATAAAGTATTCCTACAAAACACTAGGACAATGAACCCCACCACCACCATGGATGAATATGCACTCACAGAAGAAGAAACTAAATGACAAGCATTTGAAAAGATGCTCAACAACACTCATAATCCTAAGCAAAATACAAATTAAAACAATGATTGCAGATCATCAAACTGACAAACCTCAGTGTTGATGAAGATGTAGATAGATCAGGGGAGATCCTCAGACACTGATCCATTGCAGTGGTTCTCAACCTTCCTAATGCAGCGACCCTTTCATACAGTTCCTCTCCTTGTGGTGACCCCCAATTTCATTGTTACAAATTGAACATAATTAAAGCATAGTGATTAATCACAAAAACAATATGTCATTATATATGTGTTTTCCGATGGTCTTAGGCGACCCCTGTGAAAGGGTCGTTCACCCCCAAAGGGGTCGCGACCCACAGGTTGAGAACCGCTGATTTAGAGATATGGCTGATGGAGGTCCTAGAGTCTTCTGATACTACCATTTCAAAGCATGGCTTCCACAGTCTCTGCAAAGAGAAAGACAGCACAGATTCAGTCATTCTTCTATGCTTACCTTGGAAGGAATACACAACACATCTGCTTAACAGCCCATTGGGACAACTAGTCTCAGCTACCAATCTTTTTTAAAAAATATTTTTTTATTGATTTCAGAGAGAAAGAGAGAGAATCATTAATGGGCTGCCTCCTGCATGCCCCCTACTGGGGATAGAGCCTGCAACCGGGCATATGCCCTTGACTGGAATTGAACCTCCGGACCCTTCAGTCTGCGGGCCAAGACTCCATCCACTGAGGCAAACGGGCCAGGGCTCAATCTAACTGCAAAGTAGGGTGAGAGATGTAGTCCTTTTGTGTGCCCAGAAGGAAGAAAATGAAATAGGATTTGGTGAACACATGTTATTCTCTTTGTCACATTTGATAAAATATTAAAATTTTATAAAATTGGTGGTAGGTAGACATTAATTTTTATTACTCTTTACATTTGCCTGTATGTTTAAATTTGTCATAATTGTTTTAAAATGAGGGAAATTAAGATACAGTGGGGCCTTGACTTACGAGTGTCCCGACTGAGATACCAGCTGTCTCTCGCGGATTTTTTTGCATTGAGTTGATAGAGTAATTTGAGTTAACGAGCTCGTTAAGGAGGTCTCTGAAGGAATTAAACTCATAAGTCAAGGACCCTCTGTAATTCAAATGACCTATCCAGTGTTACAGAGATAACAAGTGGTGAATTGGATTAGAACTGTCTCTCTCTAAGAAACTATTGTATTCCTGCCCTTGAGGAGGGCACAGTCCAGAGGTAGAAGAGACAGATGCATAAACAAATTATTTTAATATATTACAATTATCACAATGGAACATGAAGAAAGGTATGTTCAAAGTGCTCCTGATCATTATAAACTGGTAACATAATAACTGGAAACTTCTTTATGATCCCAGGAAGTTTTAAAATGCGCATGCACAGTTCATAAGGTCTATGTAATCTTCATTTATGAGAGCCAAACTTTTGTGGAGAGTTATTTCAGGAAATTCCTGAAGTAAAACTTTGCTTTGAACTCCACCCAATTCATGATCAGTCCGTACAGACTTGTTAGGGAGGTGCTGCTAAACTAATATATATTGTCTTGTTCAACCTCATGTCTTCAAGTAAGAAGTTCTTTGATCTTCTACACAAAAGAAGAATAGAGAGAAACAAGTTCCCAATGGAAAGGAGAATTGTTCAGCTTACTAGTATCAAAGTCTTATGCCTCATTGAAACATCCAGGCATTGGAACATTTAGACTCTCACACCTGTGGAAGTTGGAGTCTAAAAAGACCTAGCATATGACCACAGACACAATGATTGCTTCCAAAATTTATCTCTTTATATTCTCCACAAAGTAGTTAAAAAATATTCCCGTTGTATATACAACTATGTTTCTCCATGAGTTCCATAATCTAGTTCATTCACTCATTTTTGAGTTAGGGATGTAGTACTTAGCAAAACAGACATGGTTTCTGATCTCATGGAGCTTATAGTCCAGTTGGTGAAGTAGACATTAATCAAACAAGTACACCCATTAATATTTCATATATGGATAAAAGTTACAAAGAAAAATAAAGGGCATTGTAAAAGAGACTAGAGGCCACTAGGGTTTCCATTTAGAACAGGGGAAATAAGGAATACCAGTCTGGGGACTGGTAGCCTCCACAGCGGCTTCCCTGTCTTTGGGGCAGCCAGGGCATCTGCAGGATAAATTAGGCACTTTGGTCCCAGGTGCTGGCTCCCTCAGCCACAGACAGAATCCTGGGGAGCTGGAGCAGAGCCAGAGGAGCGAAATGGCGATGCCACCTGGTATCAGGAGGAAGAGCCAGAGAAACAGGACTTTATATCAGATCCCAATTATATCTCCTTTCTGGGATAACCAGGAAACATGGGTTAAAGCTTCAGCAGCACTTTCATATTTTCTATGCAAATTGTTTGAGAACAAATGTGAAAAGCATTGATATTTTATTGCCTTGTATAACTCATTAGGCTCATTTTTAACAACTCCTCATCACTTTTCCAATTTGTATAATGATGAATTAGATGTGCCATCCAATTGTCCCCTGGGGCCTTCCTTCCCATCCCATAGTTGGCTCAATTTCCATGGCTTTATGAAATTTTCAGGGTACTTAGGTTCTCTGCTGTCTGGGGCTTTACACATCTATATTAGAGTCTGTTTTGTAGCACAGGAGTTTGGATAACAAATTCCATCTCCTGTTGCGCCTACAGTGAGAGAAAGGTACCTCTTCGCTGAAGATTTTAGGGGAGTGGTGGAGAGGGTTTACATGGCAATGCCAAAGACTTTAAATGAACAGGTGTGCTGGTTAAAAAAGCCCAAATGTCAGGGCTGCTGTCACCGCACCCTGGCCTTGCTTCAAAGCACCAGTCAGCTACACATCTCAGTTACCAGCCAACGAGCCAAAGAAGTGCTCACGAGAGTGGAAAATGCTGCTTGCAGAACCCTAAGAGCCCACCAGGCATTGTGCTTCCTTCTTAGTAATGGAGGACATGAAATGCAACAATTCAATCTTTATTTTGAAGGGATGGCCCAGGTTAGCCCAGCCTCTCCACCCTTCAAAATTCACTACTGCAAATTCACTGTGTAGCAGAGCCTTGAATCTCTGTAGATTTAACTCCCTCCCTCTGAAGCACAAGTGTATTACCAAGACCTTCAACATACTGACACTGCTGGCTCACCTAGTGTGATTAATATGATATCATTGATATAGCAGACCTATTTGATGTACTATTTTCTCCAAACTTCCAAGAGTCATCGTAGTAGTGTGATAGCACCATCTCATTGGGTCCTTGCCATGGTGAACTATATCATGGGAGAATGCTCTCTTATCAATGAATTCTTCCTTATCCAATTGTTCATTCCCCTCACTCCCACTCCCCTTAACCATGCATACTCAGGATCTATACTTTTCCAGCTTCTGCCAGTACAGTTCCTTCAAGGAATAGTCTCTTTTCTCCTTAGCAGGACCATCACTTATGTTGTGATTTAATTCTAATTACTGGTTTGCAGTAGGAAGTGGGAGTGGTGGAGTGAGTAAGATTCTTTGAGTAAAGGCAATAATCTTTCTTGCAAGGCAACTCTTGAGAGTGGGGAGTGCAAACTTTTAACCTGGAGAGTGGGCCCCTTCGGCAACCCAGAGGATTCAGAGGAAATCTGGGGAGTCAAGATGTACAAGAATATCAACCCACTTGTCCCCATCCCATATCACGAGATCTCAATCCTTCCCAATTAAGGCCAGGACTTTGAGATAGCCAACTTGCTATGATTGAGAATTCTGCCTTCACTGGAGCTCTGCTACCTTATAATTTAAGTTCTGTGCCTCAACCTCAGGAGGTCTGGCCTCTTCAGTTGGTGATTAATCACTCTCTGCCTTTCTTGTCTTTCTCCAGTAGGAGCTATCCCAGTCCATTGGCCTTAAATTACTACTTTCCCTGAACATCTGGATGCCCAGAGTGCTGCACCCTCCAGCTCATTCTCTTCTGCTGGCAAACCATCCTAGTTTGTCACTGCTGAAAGTTTTACAGTTTGCACTGCTCCCTCCTCAGGGCCTCTAGTGAGGGGTTCTTGTTACCAGCCAGTCAGCAGGTAACCCAACTCCAAAATCTTATTTTAGAATCTGCCTCCTAAGACCACCCTACTCTTGTTCCAATTATTGTTCATTCAGGTTCATTCAGACTCTTAGACTCTAGGATTGCCTGCAGGGGTATATTAGGGAGAGCTTTCAGGAGCTGCTCCTGTGAGGGGGTGAAGGAAGCAGAATCAGGTAGAGGGAGAAGCTGAATTGTAGGTCAGGTGTAACAGAGGCCTCAGCTGACCCTATAGGGAGCTCTGACGCTGAAATGGACAATCAGAAATGTCTTGAATTGAAGATTGGGGCTGGCTGCATCAATTGGTTACTGACCCTGAGGACAAGGCCTGATTTTGAGTGAGGCAATTTCCTGAGTAGGGTGTCAACTGTGAGCTCATACTACCAGCTCTGGTGAAAACAGTGCCTTGGTCCGGAAGTGGGGATCTGGGTGGCATACTATGACATCTACTACAGATAGGATGACCAGGGGCAACCAGGAGTGAGGGTAGCCCAGGACATGGGGATATCAGTGCTAAAGCTGGAGCAGTCCCAAGCAAACAAGGAGATTTGGTTGCCCTAGAAACCCTGACCTTAAAATACTAAAGGGAGGTGTAAATTTGTCAACTATCATTTTCTCGATAACATTGAATATGTATTAATAGAATATACATCAGTAGTTAAGAAGCTAGGCCATTGAATGAATTTTCAAGGAGTAGCTTAACTACAAAAGGCCATTAGGATAGTATTTGACCTGTAATCTTTAGTGGGTGAATCATGGAACAGGAATAGTAACATTTCTTAAGGCAGGTCCCTGACACAAAAACAGAGTAGAAGTTGCTCAAGTCTGGCCACTATAAGGAAAAAAAAGAGCATATCAGAAAAACTAGAAACAGCATAGATTCCAGGTCAGCTAGCAACAGCACCAGAATCGCCTGAGGACTTTATTGCTAAAGCAGAACCCCACCAGCAGAAATACTAATTTGGCACCTAGAGGGTGAGGTGCCTTTTTAACAGGGTTCCTCAGGGTTTCTGATGCAAGTGACAGCAGATCACAATCTAAGAAACATTGTACTGTCTCTACCATGCATTTCTCTTAGCCAATCATGTTTTTAAGTTTCTAGCAAGTCAGGTTGCCAGGTAAAATACAGGACATTCAGTTAAATTTTCATTTCATATAAACAATACTTTTTAGTATAAATATGGGTCATGGGAACATGTAATAAAATAAGTATATAACATCAATATAATGCTATGATAAAATAGTATATATGAATAACATTATAAATTATATGATTAAATTAAAAGATATGCAATATTGTCGTACTATAAAAAGTATAAATTATTAATAGCAATAAATTATTTATTGTTTACTTGAAATTCAAATTTAACTGGGCATCCTGCATTTTTTACTTGCTAAATCTGCCAATCCTGCTTTCAAGGGAATTTTTAAATACACAAAAATAGAAAGAATAGAATAAACCCACATGTAACCATCTCCCTGCTTGGACAATTATCAACATTTTGCAGAGATGCAGAAATAATTAAGTCCTTAAGTAACTTATCATCAAGTTGGGGCAACATAATAAACATTCAAGAAATAAGTGCTAAAATGTGTAATACTGACTGTAAGTACTGCTGGAGTTCAACGAAGGGAGCATCAGTGCTTACTGGAGTTGATGAAGTGATCTTGGAGTTGAGATTGTGTTGGGCCCTGTAAAATCTGTATTAGTTGAGCAGGCTTTCCCAAGCAGAGCAACCAGCGTGACCAGGTTGAATTCACCAGGTTCTATAAAAGTCTCTCTCCATTTGAAAGCACACTCACCTCCCCATGCTTCACACTTTCATCTACAGGGCCCACAGCAGCTGTCACCCATTCAGCTAATATACATCGAGCACTACTGAAAATTACATCATCGGGACCTATTAGCTCTTAAACATGTCAGCACAATGGCTGTTCAATCTTCTCTGGGTGACTCATTAATTAACCTCTGCAATACTCTGTCTTTGACATCATTGGAGAGTTCAATTTTTCCTCGATTGAAAGTAGCCCTGGGGAGAATGATAAATTGATAAGAAAAACAAAATTCTATTCCATTGGCCAGCTTTATGCTAATGCTTATGAAATGCCATGGCTACTTGAGCCTATTGATACATGTCAAATAATTAAGAAAAATACGGGATAATGCTATAGCTCATCTCTTAAATTACATTAACATTTAAAATGGTCTATTTTTCTATGCAAGTGACAATAACACAAAATGTGGGGTTTTATACATTTAATAAGTTTTTACTTTCTAATTTCTCTCAACTTTAAATGCAACTAATTCAAATAGGATGAAAACTTGAAAAAATATTTTCTTGAAATATATAGTTACAGATCAAGAAACATTAAATATACTCAAGAGTCCTTTCATTCTTCTATTCTCAGTCACCACCCCCAACTAAAGGGTAACCACTATCCTGACTTCTAACACCATAGAATAGTTTTGCCTGGTTTTATTCTTTATGTAAATAGAATCATACAGTATATACTCTCTTATATGTCTGGCTTTTCACTCAGCATTACATTTGTGAGATTCAAGGGATGTTGATTTTAAATGACTTTTGTTATTAAATAAGTAACACATACTCAACATTTAATAATTAGAAAATACACCATAATTTTTCATTAGTTTCAAAATTGTGTGCATGTCTGTACACAATTTATTTGCTCAAGATTATAAACTTTTATAAAAGTCCCGCATTAAAAAGAAAGGTTCTCATCTCTTTTTGACATTTTTAGTAATTCTTTTATTCTGGCTTAGACAATTACCTGCTTGGACAGATATTAGCATTCTGCCCCAATTATTATTTTAGGACTATTCATTCCATTTCTCCAAAACTAGATCCTTAGTCAGCTCCAGGTGCCATATACTCTTTGTGGCATTTTTATAATAAAAATAGAAAAATAAGAGTAAGACACAGATAGTTTATTTTCTACCTGGTGTGCTCACTGGTAGATGGTGGTTTCTAGGGAAGCAGTTGTGTTACCAGCTCAGCCCCTATAAGAACATCTGTCATAGCAACACTCTGGGATTTTCTCAGAAAAGTGAATGTGTATACAAGACTTGAGGTGAAGAACAAGGTATGTTTGTTTCCATTCAGCTCATTATGAGCATGAGTCCAATTCAAAATAGTCCACCTATCTCATAAACTACCCAGTACACACAGGAACCTCCACCCTTGGCAAGACACTGGGTGGATTTGTGTCTTAAAAGACCAGGTATAATGTGGTGCACAGGTGACTGTCATATAGGTTTACATAGTACAAACCACACTATACTTAGCATCACCCTGAGATACAACTCTTTTTTTCATTCCTTATTGTGATAAAATATACATAAATTTACCATCTTAATAATGTTTAAGTGCACAGTATAGTAGTATTAAGTACATTCAATTGTTGTACAACCATCATCACCATCCATCTCCATATACTTTTTCATCTTGCAAAACTGAAACTCTGTACCCATTAAACAATAACTGCCCATTTTCCCCTCCTCCCAGACCCTGGCAACCACCATTCTACTTTCTTCAGGATACAGACTTTTAAAACACGAAATGCAAAATTCTTTCTCATGCACTCAACCCCGGCCCTTGGGTCACAAGTGTTCCTAATGAAAAAGTTATTCTCTGCTCTCCAAGATGAACCCCAGCCCATTACCTCCTGCTCTCTTCATCTTTGCAAAGGTCATCACCCTCATCTCTGGATCCCCTTTGGTCACATCAGACCATTTGGGCAAAAAAGAAGAGTTAGTTTAAATGTAAAGACCTAGAAGGTATCTCACACTCAGCCATCCTTTGGCATCATTTCTGGTTCTTCTCATTCCAGGAAGTGCTCCAGCGAATTACATGTCTCCTGCTGACTTAGAAATCGACTTAAAGCTCCATGAGGAAGGATGGGCTGTAAGTAACAGCTTTCTCCAGCTAGGTAATTTCTGACCTTGTTCTACAATTCAGTCCTTCACCCCTTATTTCTTGAGCTACCACATTATGCTTGACCCAAAGGACCTACTGTTAACTACGAACCCTACCATCAGGGATTTCCAGCCATAGCTGATTGAGAAAATCAGCAACTGGTCTCCCCAAAAACGCAACCACAAAACAGGACAAATTTGACCAAAACAGCCATTTTAGTACTCTGAGAATAGATCAAAGGCACATGAAAATCTGAAGAGCATCTATGTTTGAAAAATAGCTGAACTTCAGGTAAGAACAATGGGAGTCTGGGCATTCTGGCCTGGGGTTGGTCTCATGCCCCACCCCCACCCCCAGTCCCAGCTTGATCAACGAAGATGTTTGGGCAGGGAAGGGCAGGCCATGAGCACCAACAGTACTCCAGTCACAGTCCAAGGGGCTTATTCAATTTGGAGCACCTATACCTACGGGGAGAAATGAATAGCACCAGAGATGATAATTATATGGGCTAATATACAAGATTATGAGGGCCCTGGCCAGGCAGCTCAGTTGGTTAGAGTGTCATTTGGATATGCCAAAGTTGCAGGTTTGATTCCCAGTCAGGGCACACTCAAGAATCGACCAATAAATGTGTAAATAAGTGGAACAACAAATAGATGTTTTTCTCTCTCTCCCTTCCTCTATTTCTAAAATCAATAAATACAAACATTTTTATAAAGACTATGTTTATCTTTTTTCTCATTTCTTACCTTCTTTAAAAGACATATGACTGTATAAACAAATACTTATACCATTATCTTGTTGGGTTTGTAGCATATATAGATGTAATATAAATGGTAATAACAGCACTAAGAATGGGGAAGGAAATAGAGGTATATTGAAATGTTTTATATTTTTCTAAAGTTAAATTAGTATTAAATCCCATCTCCATAGTGAATAATAATAACAGTTTATGTGTACTGAGTGTTTACCTTGTTCCAGTGGGTACATGTTACCTTACTTAATGAGCCCCCCCCCCATCAGTTTACCTCCTGTAACCCATACAGTAATTATTATCCAGGCCACACATTCTGTATTTCATCACAATTTAGGCTCTTGCTTTGTTACTACATGCATCACTCTTTTTGCTCCAGTGAAATAAAAATTCTTAATGCTCCCCCACAGCACACAGAAAGTGCTCAAGGTACACTGAGTTGCTAAAGGTGGCCCCCCAGGGTTATAACCTTAACATAATAAGAATGTTGATAAGCTGTCTTTATTATAAACTTTGAACACAAAATCTAATCCAATTGCAAATGGGCAAACACCATTCTACCTGTAAAAATCTCAGAAATGGTTAAGACCGCTTATTTGAGCTCTGAAGTTGGAGATAGTTCAACCTCATTTTTGCCCAAATGGTCTGATGTGACCAAAGGGGATCCAGAGATGAGGGTGATGACCTTTGCAAAGATGAAGAGAGCAGTTAAGCCTCTTAACTTTCTAGAAGAGATTGTCCAGTCTGTCAAAAAGCTTTCAAAACCAAATTATTTCACATTGAGAAGCTATAAGAAAGGTTCCCAGCATTAACTGTTGACTATTGGTTTTGAAGTATCTGCTTTGGAGGCTTTTTAAAAAGTTTTACAGAGAGAGAGAGAGAGAGAGAGAGAGAGAGAGAGAGAGAGAGAGAGAGAGAGAGAGAGAGAGAGAGAGAGAGAGAGAGATCATTGTTCCACTTATTTATGCATTCATTGGTTGCTTCTTTCTTCTATGTATTCTGACAGAAGATCAAAGCCACAACCTTGGCATATCAGGACAACGCTCTAACTAACTGAGCTATCTGGCCAGGGATGCAGGGTTTTGAAATCTCAAGCTGAAGAGCCCTCCAGTGTTAATGGTTTCAGGAGTCCCTTTGCCTATCTCTAGGCAGTGGTTTGGGGAATGTGGAATCTATCCTGATAAAGATGTCAGGGAAGAAGATCCTTCCAAACTCTTCTAGATCTTCTGCAGTCTGTAAATTCTGTCCCATCTCTCACCTTAGGCTGTTACACATCTCACCTTAGGTTTCAGCTGCAACAGACTCCTTTAGGTTTTAGGCTCAGATCAAAAGAAGCATCCCTGGAGTCCAAGGAGTCCTACCTTCCTGGTCTGCTCACCACCACCCCTCCCCCCAGGTGTGGCCCTCCCCAAGGCTGGCAGTAATCATGGAGTCCACAAGGTCCCTTGTTTCTAGCACTCTTAGCACTCTGCCCCTGAAAGCCATGAAAGTCATTCCAAACTCTTCTCAGGCTCTGAGTACACCCATACTGATTTTCTTCTTGGGTTCCACCCTGGAGCAGAGGTGTGCAGTCAGGAAAATGTCACCCAACCTGTCTCTCACCCAGAAGGTCAGCTGGAGGCACTGTCTTACAGGGTGTCCTCCTGGGTGTTGTTGCTCCAAGAGAGTCTCCCCTTACTAGAAAGAGTGTCTTCAATTCCACAGACCCAACTGTTCATCGCAGGAGAATCTGGGCAATGCTGTACTTTACCAAGGACTCTGTTTTTTAGCTTCTTCAGTGGCTAGGGATGTAATTAAATGCCATCGTTCTAATGACACACATTTTCCATTCCAGCTTCTTGAAGTTCCTTCTCTGCTAATGGTTTAGTAATTATCTCTTTGGCTACCACCTACCACCCCAGGAATGGCCTGCCAGAGTGACCTATACTCCTGACATTTTATAGTCCCTGTAAATTAGGAAGAATTACAATCAAGAGTAATGTCATGATGTACTTATTTGTTCATGGGAGTGGAACATGGCTATCTTTTCTCATTTTAAATTAGGACTACTGGGAAAAAGCACCATCAAGGTGGTCATAATTTACCAAAATGCCAGCTTTTTAAAATTCTTAAATGTATAACATTCCAGAGTGTAGACAGAGTAAGAGGAGAACCTCACATTTATATAAGGGCTCAAATTTAGATACTGACATTATCTCCAAGTGGGACTGTAGAGTCCGAAAGCATGTGTTTGATCATTTATCAAGGGTAAATTAACATTTAAAACATGTCAGAATGCAATCCTGCTTTTGGTATTGCTTTATTGACT